TCACTATGTGGCTCCATAGTTTGTCATTGTGTTCCTCACTATGTGGCTCCATTGTTTGTCACTGTGTTCCTCACTGTGTGGCGTCATTGTGTTCCTCACTATGTGGCTCCATTGTTTGTCACTGTGTTCCTCACTGTGTGGCGTCATTGTGTTCCTCACTGTGTGGCTCCATTGTTTGTCACTGTGTTCCTCACTATGTGGCGTCATTGTGTTCCTCACTGTGTGGCTCCATTGTTTGTCACTGTGTTCCTCACTGTGTGGCGTCATTGTGTTCCTCACTGTGTGGCTCCATTGTTTGTCACTGTGTTCCTCACTGTGTGACGTCATTGTGTTCCTCACTATGTGGCTCCATTGTTTGTCATTGTGTTCCTCACTATGTGGCTCCATAGTTTGTCATTGTGTTCCTCACTATGTGACTCCATTGTTTGTCATTGTGTCCTCACTGTGTGGCTCCATTGTTTGTCATTGTGTCCTCACTGTGTGGCTCCATTGTTTGTCATTGTGTTCCTCACTATGTGGCTCCATTGTTTGTCATTGTGTTCCTCACTATGTGACTCCATTGTTTGTCATTGTGTTCCTCACTATGTGGCTCCATTGTTTGTCATTGTGTTTCTCACTGTGTGGCTCCATTGTTTGTCATTGTTAGTTTGGATGGATAGACATTCTCTTTTAAGTATTTATTTACATATATATTTTTAATTTAATTTGCTATTCAATAGATAATAATAATAATAACTAATAATATTGGATTAAACAAGTCTTAAGGTCCCTTAGACTGTGTTACCCCTCCATTTATATTTATCTCTAAGATTTCTTGGTTGTGGCGTCCCTGAGTCTGGGTAAATGTGGGACACCACTGTTGACTGACAGGCTGACATAGTGCCAGTAAATGTGGGACACCACTGTTGACTGACAGGCTGACATAGTTAGTGCCAGTTATAATGGCAAATGTGAATATCTAACTGTTAGCAAACCTGTGGTACAAAGCTGACGTCAAGGGAATGGCTGAGCTCTGGTGAGGGCTGACAACATCCCACTGGGGTGCTGGCTGAGAGAATCAACTTGTCCGTGATGTCAATGCCTAAAACAGAAACAACATGAAACATTAGAGGCATGCAAACACAGGGGGCATTAGAGTGATGGAAACACAGAGGACATTAGAGAAATGGAAACACAGAGGACATTAGAGAAATGGAAACATAGAGGACATTAGAGACATGGGAACATAGAGGACATTAGAGATATGGAAACACAGAGGACATTAGAGACATGGGAACATAGAGGACATTAGAGACATGGAAACACAGAGGACATTAGAGACATGGAAACAAAGAGGACATTAGAGATATGGGAACATAGAGGACATTAGAGACATGGAAACATAGAGGACATTAGAGACATGGCAACATAGAGGACATTAGAGACATGGGAACATAGAGGACATTAGAGACATGGGAACATAGAGGACATTAGAGACATGGGAACATAGAGGACATTAGAGACATGGGAACATAGAGGACATTAGAGAAATAGAAACACAGAGGACATTAGAGATATGGAAACACAGAGGACATTAGAGACATGGAAACATAGAGGACATTAGAGAAATGGAAAAACAGAGGATATTAGAGAAATGGAAACATAGAGGACATTAGAGAAATGGAAACATAGAGGACATTAGAGACATGGGAACATAGAGGACATTAGAGAACATTAGAAACATGGGAACATAGAGGACATTAGAGACATGGGAACATAGAGGACATTAGAGAACATTAGAAACATGGGAACATAGAGGACATTAGAGACATGGGAACATAGAGGACATTAGAGACATGGGAACATAAAGGACATTGGAGACATGGGAACATAGAGGACATTAGAGACATGGGAACATAGAGGACATTAGAGAAATGGAAACACAGAGGACATTAGAGACATGGAAACACAGAGGACATTAGAGAAATGGAAACATAGAGGACATTAGAGAAATGGAAACACAGAGGACATTAGAGAAATGGAAACATAGAGGACATTAGAGAAATGGAAACATAGAGGACATTAGAGGACATTAGAGACATGGGAACATAGAGGACATTAGAGACATGGGAACATAGAGGACATTAGAGAAATGGAAACACAGAGGACATTAGAGACATTAGAGACATGGAAACACAGAGGACATTAGAGAAATGGAAACATAGAGGACATTAGAGAAATGGAAACACAGAGGACATTAGAGACATGGAAACACAGAGGACATTAGAGACATGGGAACATAGAGGACATTAGAGAACATTAGAAACATGGGAACAAAGAGGACATTAGATAACTGGAAACATAGAGGACATTAGAGACATGGGAACATAGAGGACATTAGAGACATAGGAACATAGAGGACATTAGAAATCATTAGAAACATGGGAAAATAGAGGACATTAGAGACATGGGAACATAGAGGACATTAGAGAACATGAGAAACATGGGAACATAGAGGACATTAAAGACATAGGAACATAGAAGACATTAGAGAACATTAGAAACATGGGAACATAGAGGACAGTAGAGACATGGGAACATAGAGGACATTAGAGAACATTAGAAACATGGAAACATAGAGAACATTAGAGACATGGGAACATAGAGGACATTAGAGAACATTAGAAACATGGGAACATATAGAACATTAGAGACATGGGAACATAGAGGACATTAGAGAAATGGAAACATAGAGGACATAAGAGAAATGGAAACATAGAGGACATTAGAGAAATGGAAACATAGAGGACATTAGAGAAATGGAAACATGGAGGACATTAGAGAAATGGAAACATAGAGAACATTAGAGGACATTAGAGACATGGGAACATATAGAACATTAGAGGACATTAGAGACATGGGAACATAGAGAACATTAGAGGACATTAGAGACATGGAAAAATAGAGGACATTAGAGACATGGGAACATAGAGAACATTAGATGACATTAGAGACATGGGAACATAGAGGACATTAGAGACATGGGAACATAGAGAACATTAGAGGACATTAGAGACATGGAAACATAGAGGACATTAAAGACATGAGAACATAGAAAACATTAGAGGACATTAGAGACATGGAAACAAAGAGGACATTAGAGACATGGGAACATAGAGAACATTAGAGACATGGGAACATAGAGAACATTCGAGGACATAAGAGACATGGGAACATAGAGAACATTAGAGGACATTAGAGACATGGGAACATAGAGGACATTAGAGACATGGGAACATAGAGAACATTAGAGACATGGGAACATAGAGAACATTAGAGGACATTAGAGACATGGGAACATAGAGAACATTAGAGAACATAAGAGAAATGGAAACATAGAGGACATTAGAGCCATGGGAACATAGAGAACATTAAAGGACATTAGAGGCATGGGAACATAGAGGACATTAGAGACATGGGAACATAGAGGACATTAGAGACATGGGAACATAGAGGACATTAGAGACATGGGAACATAGAGGACATTAGAGGCATGGGAACATAGAGGAAATTAGAGACATAGAAACATAGAGAACATTAGAGACATAGAAACATAGAGGACATTAGAGACATGGGAACATAGAGGACATTAGAGACATGGGAACATAGAGGACATTACAGACATGGGAACATAGAGGACATTAGAGACATGGCAACATAGAGGACATTAGAGACATAGGAACATAGAGGACATTAGAAACATGGGAACATAGAGGACATTAGAGATATGGCAACATAGAGGACATTAGAGACATGGCAACATACATTAAAGACATGGGAACATAAAAGACATTAGAGACATGGCAACAAAGAGGACATTAGAGACATGGGAACATAGAGGACATTAGAGACATGGGAACATAGAGGACATTAGAGACATGGGAACATAGAGGACATTAGAGACATGGGAACATAGAGGACATTAGAGACATGGCAACATTGAGGACATTAGAGACATGGGAACATAGAGGACATTAGAGACATGGGAACATAGAGGACATTAGAGACATGGGAACATAGAGGACATTAGAGACATGGGAACATATAGGACATTAGAGCAAGGGGAACATAGAGGACATTAGAGAACATTAGAAACATGGGAACATAGAGGACATTAGAGACATGGCAACATAGAGGACATTAGAGACATGGGAACATAGAGGACATTAGAGACATGGAAACATAGAGGACATTAGAGACATGGGAACATAGAGAACATTAGATGACATTAGAGACATGGGAACATAGAGAACATTAGAGACATGGGAACATAGAGAACATTAGAGGACATTAGAGACATGGAAACAAAGAGGACATTAGAGACATGGGAACATAGAGAACATTAGAGGACATTAGAGACATGGGAACATAGAGGACATTAGAGACATGGGAACATAGAGAACATTAGAGGACATTAGAGACATGGAAACATAGAGGACATTAGAGACATGAGAACATAGAGAACATTAAAGGACATTAGAGACATGGGAACATAGAGGACATTAGAGACATGGGAACATAGAGGACATTTAAGGACATTAGAGACATGGGAACATAGAGGACATTAGAGACATGGGAACATAGAGGACATTAGAGACATGGGAACATAGAGGACATTAGAGACATGTGAACATAGAGGACATTAGAGACATGGCAACACAGAGGAAATTAGAGACATGGGAACATAGAGGACATTAGAGACATGGGAACATAGAGGACATTAGAGACATGGAAACAAAGAGGACATTAGAGCCATGGGAACATAGAGAACATTAAATTACACTAGAGACATGGGAACATAGAGGACATTAGAGACATGGGAACATAGAGGACATTAGAGACATGGGAACATAGAGGACATTAGAGACATGTGAACATAGAGGACATTAGAGACATGGCAACACAGAGGACATTAGAGACATGGGAACATAGAGGACATTAGAGACATAGGAACATAGAGGACATTAGAGACATGGGAACATAGAGGACATTAGAGACATGGGAACATAGAGGACATTAGAAACATGGGAACATAGAGGACATTAGAGACATAGCAACATAGAGGACATTAGAGAGCATTAGAAACATGGGAACATAGAGGACATTAGAGACATGGCAACATAGAGGATATTAGAGACATGGCAACATAGAGGACATTAGAGACATGGGAACATAGAGGACATTAGAGACATGGAAACATAGAGGACATTAGAGACATGGCAACATAGAGGACATTAGAGAACATTAGAAACATGGGAACATAGAGGACATTAGAGACATGGCAACATAGTGGACATTAGAGACATGGGAACATAGAGGACATTAGAGACATGGAAACATAGAGGACATTAGAGACATGGCAACATAGAGGACATTCGAGACATGGCAACATAGAGGACATCAGAGATATGGGAACATAGAGGACATTAGAGACATGGGAACATAGAGGACATTAGAGACAAGGCAACATAGAGGACATTAGAGACATTTAAACATAGAGGACATTAGAGACATGGGAACATAGAGGACATTATAGACATGGGAACATAGAGGACATTAGAGACATGGGAACATAGAGGACATTAGAGACATGGCAACATAGAGGACATTTGAGGACATTAGAGACATGGGAGTATAGAGGACATTAGAGGACATTAGAGACATGGGAACATAGAGGACATTAGAGGACATTAGAGACATGGGAACATAGAGGACATTAGAGGACATTAGAGACATGGGAACATAGAGGACATTAGAGACATGGGAACATAGAGGATATTAGAGACATGGGAACATAGAGGACATTAGAGACATGGCAACATAAAGGACATTAGAGGACATTAGAGACATGGGAACATAGAGGACATTAGAGGACATTAGAGACATTGTAACATAGAGGACATTAGAGGACATTAGAGGCATGGGAACATAGAGGACATTAGAGACATGGGAACATAGAGGACATTAGAGACATGGGAACATAGAGGAAATTAGAGACATGGGAACATAGACATTAGAGACATGGGACCATAGAGGACATTAGTGACATGGGAACATAGAGGAAATTAGAGACATGGGAACATAGAGGACATTAGAGATATGGGAACATAGAGGATATTAGAGACATGGGAACATAGAGGATATTAGAGTCATGGGAACATAGAGGATATTAGAGACATGGGAACATAGAGGGTATTAGAGAACATGGAAACATTGAGGACATTAGAGACATGGGAACATAGTGGACATTAGAGACATGGGAACATAGAGGACATTAGAGACATGGGAACATAGAGGACATTAGAGACATAGGATATTAGAGACATGGGAACACATGAGATATTAGAGACATGGGAACACATGAGATATTAGAGACAGGGGAACACATGAGATATTAGAGACAGGGGAACACATGAGATATTAGAGCCAGGGGAACACATGAGATATTAGAGACAGGGGAACACATGAGATATTAGAGACAGGGGAACACATGAGATATTAGAGACAGGGGAACACATGAGATATTAGAAACAGGGGAACACATGAGATATTAGAGACAGGGGAACACATCAGATATTAGAGACAGGGGAACACATGAGATATTAGAGACAGGGGAACACATGAGATATTAGAGACAGGGGAACACATGAGATATTAGAGACAGTGGAACACATCAGATTTTAGAGACAGGGGAACACATCAGATTTTAGAGACAGGGGAACACATGAGATATTAGAGACAGGGGAACACATGAGATATTAGAGACATGTGAACACATGAGATATTAGAGACAGGGGAACACATGAGATATTAGAGACAGGGGAACACATGAGATATTAGAGACAGGGGAACACATGAGATATTAGAGACAGGGGAACACATGAGATATTAGAGACAGGGGAACACATGAGATATTAGAGACAGGGGAACACAAGAGATATTAGAGACAGGGGAACACATGAGATATTAGAGACAGGGGAACACATGAGATATTAGAGACATGGGGACACATGAGATATTAGATACAGGGGAACACATGAGATATTAGAGACAGGAGAACACATGAGATATTAGAGACAGGGGAACACATGAGATATTAGAGACAGGGGACACATGAGATATTAGAGACATAGGAACACATCAGATATTATAGACATGTACCAGAATAGACTGTGCTGATATCGCCTGCAGCCAGGCCACAGAGTTCTACATCTTGAAACCTGCCACATTTGGGTGCTGTTGTCATGTCACACTGGCAGAAGTTTGCAGGCATAAACGGCAGTTCTTTATCAGATGGGCATATGCCATTCAAGTAAGAAGAGCTTCGTCTGAGAGGATAAAATCAATATGAATAACACTTTTGTTTAATGAGGCAACAAATAGAGCTATTTGTAGGGAGCAATTTAAAAATTTCAGTAACAGAAACATTACATTTGAATTTTGATCTCTTTCACAAGTATGTAATATTGTTAATAATTAACTCTTTGAGTCCCAGGGGGTTTTGCACCAGAGGCCCAAGGGGGGTAATATGATTTTGACTTTTAAAAATGCAGCACTTTAAAACAAACCACACAACTGCAGCTGATGTCCAATATGCACGTATCATACATAAAATTAAACATAAATGGATAAGGATTAATATTAGCATACTGCTACAACAAACAATTATACTGTTAGTTAGTTTTTAGTAAAGAAAACAGTGACTTAGTTTGAGAGGTGAGTAAATTATGAACAAGTTTTTTCCACTTACCCAGAAGCTGATCCCAAAATTCTTGATATAGTATATCCAAAATGCATCACAAAGGAAGGTACACCACTTATAAGTATGCACAGCCAATATTAAAGCAAAATGTTCAATAGTTTTTGTTCCATACTAATTTTAATAACACGTCAAAATATATTCTCCAGTGGCACAAAAAGTGACTTTTCTAAAAATAATTGAATTCCTCACATAGAAAAAAAACTGTAAAGGCACTGTAAACATGTCAATCTGTTCATAGATATATATCTATGGTTTTAGATTATATGGATAGAAGTACTAGAAGCGCTGACATTTGAACTAGCTGGTGTTGCGTTACGAGGTGCTTCTCTTGTATTGCCAAGGCAGAATTAGTCAGTTTTGTCCTCTTAGCAGGAGGTAAATTACGCACACATCCTCATCAAAACTTGACTCGTCAACGGTTTGGGGAAATTTCACGTCGCTACTATCATTATCCAACTCCACATTACTTTAATTGATCCACTGTTTTATCAAATTTGATGATTCTAAAGCAGTAAATTGATGAAGACGATGACTGATCGGACATATTGTTTTCAGACAATTGTTTGGTAACGTAGTAGACCACACAAATCTCGATTTAAAGCGTTAAAAACTCACCAGACCCAAACGAATGCACTCCACGTGTGTACACTACACACTTGAGAACCGGAAAGGAAGTTTAAATTGAGCGGTCCACGTGTAATTACCGATAAGTGGTAAATTAAAAACCGTCACACGTCATGCGCTGTTTGGGCCCCCAAGTAGTAAAAAATGAGCGTGTGATGCGTTCCTTGGGACTCAAAGAGTTAAGCTTCTTGATATACAATTGTGTGTGTGTGTGTGTGTGTGTGTGTGTATGTGTGCAATAAATACACATTTGTGTGTGTGTACTTGAATGTATTTAGTGTGTATATATGTGTGTGTGTGTGTGTGTGTGTGTATATGTGTGTGTGTGGTGTGTGTGTGCATGCATGTCTAAAATAACCCTCTAGAGTTCATGATATGTGTGTAATCAGTTAAGTAATCAACATACACTCTACAGCAATAATAGCTGTGTAAATCATGTGATTGATCTACACTTTACAACATAACCAGCTGTCTAAATCATGTGATTGATCTACACTCTACAACATTACCAGCTGTGTAAATCATGTGATTGATCTACACTCTACAACACAACCAGCTGTGTAAATCATGTGATTGATCTTCACTTCACAACACTAAAAACTGTGTAAATTATGTGATTGATCTTCACTCTACAACGCTGTCGGCGTGATGCTGACCACATCACCCATCTTGTGCGAATTGGTCTATAAAAATATAGGTCTAGCCCTATATGCCCTATACGCCTGATGGCGTGGAAAAGGGTCCTTTACTAAATTTTTTACTACAACACTAAGAGCGGTGTATATCATGTGACTGATCTAAACCCTGCAATATTAACAGCTGCGTAAATCATGTGATTGATCTGCACTTGACAACATTAACAGCTGTGTAAATCATGTGATTGATCTACACTTTACAACATAAACAGATGTCTAAATCATGTGACTGATCTAAACTACACAACATTAACAGCTGTGTAAATCATGTGATTGATCTACACTGAACAACAATAACAGCTGCGTATCTCATGCAAATTACATAGTGAAACAAATCAACCTAGACAATCTCACATATTCAAATATACTGAGGGCAAAAGCATATTGATCACACATATTCAAATAAGCTGAGGTCAAATTCACATTAAATGCTATTATCTACAAAACCACAGTTTGATGGTTTCAGAAACATTGTGAAAAATGCAGACACAAACAACACTTGGAAACATTTCAGTGAAATTATATGAAAATGTGTAAAGTGCTGATACAGTCAACATACTGACAAATTTTACCGAATTAACGTGATGTAATTAGAAACAGAAACTTGACCCCTCACCTCCACAGTGCAATGAACGAGTTCAAACTTGTCTGTGAGACATTCACAGTTTCTTCCGTTTGTGACTGGGTGTCAATTGTTGTATTCCTGGCTTCACTCAAGTCTGGGATATTGTTGTCTGTGTTGTTACTGTGGCTGCTACACAGACCTAAAGACACAACCAGAGTTCAGCAATCAACAGTTAGCAATCACGAATGGAAGATAACAGAGTGCATCCAAAAGTTTAACACATCAAAGATATAGTACCTTGGTATACTTTGGTATATTTTCAACTTGGTATACATTCTGTTTAGACATGAAAACTGTTTCTTGGTAGACAACCTTTGTTTGAAGTACAGATGTGTATAAGTCAAAATTAGTCATAACATTGTGAGCTATGTTTCTTTGCCTCTTTCAAAACAAAGCCTTGGATAGATGTCAGTGGCTTTGCAGAGAAGTACCATCCCAACAAAGCCTAAGCCAGTCATTTGAGCATCATCTGCATGATCAGACAAAGCCTAAGCCAGTCATTTGAGCATCATCTGCATGACCAGACAAAGCCTGAGCCAGTCATTTGAGCATCATCTGCATGACCAGACAAAGCTTAAGCCAGTCATTTGAGCATCATCTGCATGATCAGACAATGCCCCATTTCCAAAACATCATGAAGAGAAGTTAGAAGCAAAATTCTTTGGGCAGATTTGGTTGATGGCAAGTCACCTGCTAGTTGTTGCAGGTATGTCTTCTATCACTGCTGATGTCAAGTCACCAGCTTATTGCTGGAGGGATGTCTTCTATCACTGCTGATGTCAAGTCACCAGCTTATTGCTGGAGGGATGTCTTCTATCACTGTTGATGTCAAGTCACCAGCTTATTGCTGGAGGGATGTCTTCTATCACTGCTGATGTCAAGTCACCAGCTTATTGCTGGAGAGATGTCTTCTATCACTGTTGATGTCAAGTCACCAGCTTATTGCTGGAGAGATGTCTTCTATCACTGTTGATTTCAAGTCACCAGCTTATTGCTGGAGGGATGTCTTCTATCACTGCTGATGTCAAGTCACCTGCTACTTGTTGCAGGGATGTCTTCTATGATTGTTTATGTCAAGTCCAGCCTCATCTGTTTATTCCTCTCCCCTGCATGTTTCATGTTCCACACCTCTTCTCTACTTCATGATCTGCTCTAGGAGTTGTGTGCCTCATCTGTGTATTCCTCTCTCCTGCATGTTTTATGTTCCACACCTCTTCTTTATTAAAACCGTCAAACACCAGACTGTTCACCATTTACTGGAATCACACATGATGATGATGCACATGAGATTCAACTACAGCAACCAGTATAGGATACCAGTAGAGTCTCACTGTCTTGTCTTGTTTCCACCATGAAGGGAGGATCTAGGATAGACATACTTATATAATGTTAGCACTGAGAAATTACCTTGTGATGCTTCGAAGTCGTCTGCCGTAGAAGCATAGATGATAGTGCTGAGATGGTTTCTCCTGTGGCTGACTCGGACGTCAATGTAGGTGCCACTTGGCAATGCCACCTGAAGATCAATATAGGTCAAGGTTGTCAGGTGACAGCAGAGATTCACTTATCCATACAAAAATGTGTGTACATGCAGACAGGAGACACTTGTGTACATGCAGACAGGAGACACTTGTGTACATGCAGACAGGAGACACTTGTGTACATGCAGACAGGAGACACTTGTGTACATGCAGACAGGAGACACTTGTGTACATGCAGACAGGAGACACTTGTGTACATGCAGACAGGAGACACATGTGTACATGCAGACAGGAGACACTTGTGTAATGCAGACAGGAGACACTTGTGTACATGCAGACAGGAGACACTTGTGTACATGCAGACAGGAGATACTTGTGTACACACAGACAGAAAACAAGCATGTACATACAGACATAAAACAGTGTGTTCATACAGACAGAAAACATTTAAGTTCCACATGTGCAGACAATAATATATTAATATGTAAAGTAATATATAATTCAAAGGACACAGTTTTCTACATCTCAATGTATAGATTAATAAAGGTGGATTGTAGAAATACTAGAAGGGAAAAGGCAGAATTTTTGAGCTTATCTGAACTTGGAGGTGTCAATTACCTCATTGAGTCCCAGAGGGTTTAGCATCACAGGGCCCAAGGGGTAGTCGAGAGAGACGTAAAATTGGTGCATCGTGCACTCACTGGGCTTCTAGGCAGTAACCTGTGAACGTATGATGCGTTCCTTAGGACTCAAAGAGTTAATTCAGCAATTGACTACTGTCAGTCTGGAGTAAATTCTGACCTTTCTCAAATGGCACAAACAAGTTTCAGAGTTAAAACTCTTTAGGTCAGTGGATTTATGCTGGTTTAGCTTTTCAGGAGGAGATCGGATCACCTGCGGATCTGTCTGGAAAAGTGTGATGACAATCCTCACTAATCACTAAAATGATGGAGTTATGTTGGCACTAAACAGAGAGAGTCAGACAGAGAGAGAATGAGAGAGAGAGAGAGAGATAGATCAAATATAAAAGGTCTCATATGTTTGAAACAAGAATTGCTAATACTAACCCTGTATTTGCTTCCTGCATTTCCATCCCCAAACCTGGAAACTTGTGTACCTGGCGTCAGTTGTCTGTTCAGGTAAAGATGCACGTTGGTGACGTTGCTGTCAGCACAGTTGTCAACAGCTATAATATCATCTCCTGACCTAACTACAACTGCACAAGCACATGTCCAGTTGGTGTTATCGCTGCATGGTTGCTGTACGAGACGCACCTGCACGCAAAACCAAACAATCTTTCTAGAATACAGCAGAAAAATATGTTATTGATCAATTCAGCCATAACTTGCTGCAGTGTACTGTATACAGCCCTTCTCGATTGACTGTATCATTTTTTTTATCTTGCTGTCTAGAGTGAGTGTCTTCTAGCTGAGCATCTGTGCTGTGCTATTGTCAGTTCCACTGTGAGTGTCTTCTAGCTGAGCATCTGTCCTGTGCTATTGTCAGTTGTAAGTGTGTTCTAGATGAGCTTCTGTACTGTGCTACTGCTAGTTCTGTTGTGTCTTCTAGCTGAGCTTCTGTGCTGTGCTATTGTCAGTTCCACTGTGAGTGTCTTCTAGCTGAGCATCTGTGCTGTGCTATTGTCAGTTGTAAGTGTGTTCTAGATGAGCTTCTGTACTGTGCTACTGCTAGTTCTGTTGTGTCTTATAGCTGAGCTTCTGTGCTGTGCTATTGTCAGTTCCACTGTGAGTGTCTTCTAGCTGAGCTTATGTGCTGTCCTATTGTCAGTTGTAAGTGTGTTCTAGATGAGCTTCTGTACTGTGCTACTGCTAGTTCTGTTGTGTCTTCTAGCTGAGCTTCTGTGCTGTGCTATTTTCAGTTCCACTGTGAGTGTCTTCTAGCTGAGCTTATGTGCTGTCCGATTGTCAGTTGTGAGTGTTTTCTAGATGAGCTTCTGTGCTGTGCTACTGCTAGTTCTGTTGTGTCTTCTAGTTGAGCTTCTGTGCTGCACTACTGTCAGTTCTGTTGTGAGTGTCTTCTAGTTGAGCTTCTGTGCTGCACTACTGTCAGTTCTGTTGTGAGTGTTTTCTAGATGAGCTTCTGTGCTGCACTACTGTCAGTTCTGTTGTGAGTGTTTTCTAGATGAGCTTCTGTGCTGCACTACTGTCAGTTCTGTTGTGAGTGTTTTCTAGATGAGCTTCTGTGCTGCACTACTGTCAGTTCTGTTGTGAGTGTTTTCTAGATGAGCTTCTGTGCTGCACTACTGTAGTTCTGTTGTGAGTGTTTTCTAGATGAGCTTCTGAGCTGCACTACTGTCAGTTCTGTTGTGAGTGTTTTCTAGATGAGCTTCTGTGCTGCACTATTGTCAATTCTGTTGTGAGTGTCTTCTAGTTGAGCTTCTGTGCTGTGCTATTGTCAATTCTGTTGTGAGTGTTTTCTAGTTGAGCTTCTGTGCTGTACTATTGTCAATTCTGTTGTGAGTGTTTTCTAGATGAGCTTCTGTGCTGCACTACTGTCAGTTCTGTTGTGAGTGTTTTCTAGATGAGCTTCTGTGCTGCACTACTGTCAGTTCTGTTGTGAGTGTTTTCTAGTTGAGCTTCTGTGCTGTACTAATGTAGTTCTGTTGTGAGTGTCTTCTAGTTGAGCTTCTGTGCTGTGCTATTGTCAATTCTGTTGTGAGTGTCTACTAGATGAGCTTCTGTGCTGTACTATTGTCAGTTCTGTTGTGAGTGTCTACTAGATGAGCTTCTGTGCTGTACTATTGTCAGTTCTGTTGTGAGTGTCTTCTAGATGAGCTTCTGTGCTATGATTTTAACAGTTCTGTTGTGAGTGTCTTCTAGTTGAGCTTCTGTGCTGTGCTATTGTCAATTCTGTTGTGAGTGTCTTCTAGTTGAGCTTCTGTGCTGTGCTATTGTCAATTCTGTTGTGAGTGTCTTCTAGTTGAGCTTCTGTGCTGTGCTATTGTCAATTCTGTTGTGAGTGTCTTCTAGTTGAGCTTCTGTGCTGTACTATTGTCAATTCTGTTGTGAGTGTCTTCTAGATGAGCTTCTGTGCTATGATTTTAACAGTTCTGTTGTGAGTGTTTTCTAGATGAGCTTCTGTGCTGTGCTACTGCTAGTTCTGTTGTGTCTTCTAGTTGAGCTTCTGTGCTGTACTATTGTCAATTCTGTTGTGAGTGTCTTCTAGATGAGCGTCTGTGCTGTGCTTTTAACAGTTCTGTTGTGAGTATCTTCTAGATGAGCTTCTGTGCTGTACTACTGTCAGTTCTGTTGTGTGTCTTTCTAGATCAGCTACTGGGTTATACTACTGTCACTTCTGTTGTGTGTGTATGTATATATATATATATATATATATATATATATATATATATAAAATGTAATTTTATTTAATTCTATTAACATTCTAAATATTGTGGGTGGAAAGCAAGAACTCACCTCATATGGCATGCTGTTATGTGTGTAAAGTACAAATTCTCCTCTTCTGTCATTCCTGATGTACCTGAAAAACAAAACAAACATTAATCCTCTCTAATAATCAGGATCAGTGGGTTGTATGAGTTTCTTCTGATCACTATTTTATGTTGGTGTACAAAAACTTTGACAGTACGTATCACTGAAATCTTACTGACATCTTTCTACTACATTGTGAAAAAATAATGACATGGCTGATATTTGAGACAAATATTCTAACCACAATTGAAAATAATAAACCAATCTTTCAGGCAAAGAGAAGGAACAGGTACAGGTCAAGTATAGCAGCCACATCATCCCAGTGATGTTTATGACTGATGATGATGTTTATACTTGTATACATGATTGATAATATAAAACAAATTAGGTCAGTGGGAAATCCCACCTAATTGTCACCTAATCCCCTCAGACACCTAATCTCCTCAGTCTATTACTTCCCCCAGTCACCCTATTCTCTCAGTCACCCAATCCGCTCAGACACCCAATCCCCTCAGACACCCAATCCCCTCAGTCACCTAACCCTCTCAGTCTATTACTTCCCCCAGTCACCCTATTCTCTCAGTCACATAATTCTCTCAGTCACCCAATCCCCTCAGTCACCTAATCCCCTCAGTCTATTACTTCCCCCAGTCACCCTATTCTCTCAGTCACCCAATTCTCTCAGTCACCCAATCTCCTCAGTCACCTAATCCCCTCAGTCTATTACTTCCCCCAGTCACCCTATTCTCTCAGTCACCCAATCCGCTCAGACACCCAATCCCCTCAGACACTCAATCCCCTCAGTCATCTAACCCTCTCAGTCTATTACTTCCCCCAGTCACCCTATTCTCTCAGTCACCCAATTCTCTCAGTCACCCAATCCCCTCAGACACCCAATCCCCTCAGTCTATTACTTCCCCCAGTCACCCTATTTTCTTAGTCACCCAATCCCCTCAGACACCCAACCCCCTCAGACACCCAATCCCCTCAGTCTATTACTTTCTCCAGTCACCCTATTCTCCCAGTCACCCAATCCCCTCAGACACCCAATCCCCTCAGACACCCAATCCCCTCAGTCTATTACTTCCCCCAGTCCCCCTATTTTCTCAGTCACACAATTCTCTCAGTCACCCAATCCCCTCAGTCACCTAATCCTCTCAGTCACCCTATTCTATCAGTCACCCAATCCCCTCAGACACCCAATCCCCTCAGACACCCAATCCCCTCAGTCTATTACTTCCCCCAGTCACCCTATTCTCTAAGTCACCTAACCCTCTCAGTCTATAACTTCCCCCAGTCACCCAATTCTCTCAGTCACCCAATCCGCTCAGTCACCTAATCCTCTGTCTAATACTCCCCCCAGTCACCCAGTTCTCTCAGTCACCCAATTCTTTCAGTCACCCAATCCCCTCAGTCCCTACTACTCTCATTCACCCATCCCCCTCAATCACAAAATCTTCTCCATCCGGACTACTCTCAGTCACACACACCCCTCAGTCACGTAATCCTCTCAGTCCCTACTACTCTCAGTCACATAATCCTCACCGTCCCTACTACTCTCAGTCACACAAACCCCTCAGTCACATAATCCTCTCAGTCCCTACTACTCTCAGTCACATAATCATTTCAGTCTCTACCACTCTCAGTCACACACACACCCCTCAGTCACATAATCCTCTCAGTCCCTACTACTCTCAGACACACACACCCCTGTCACATAATCCTCTCAGTCCCTACTACTCTCAGACACATAATCCTCACAGTCCCTACTACTCTCAGTCACATAATCCCCTCAGTCCCTACTACTCTCAGTCACACACCCCTCAGTCACATAATCCTCTCAGTCCCTACTACTCTCAGTCACATAATCTTCTCAGCCCTAACTACTTTTAGACACACACACACCCCTCAGTCACATAATCCTCTCAGTCCCTACTACTCTCAGTCACATAATCTTCTCAGTCCCTACTACTCTCAGACACACACACACCCCACAGTCACATAATCCTCTCAGTCCCTACTACTCTCAGTCACATAATCTTCTCAGTCCCTACTACTCTCAGTCACATAATCCTCTCAGTCCCTACTACTCTCTGACACACACACCCCTCAGTCACATAACCTCTCAGTCCCTACTACTCTCAGTCACATAATCTTCTCAGTCCTTACTACTTTCAGACACACACACACCCCTTAGTCACATAATCCTCTCAGTCCCTACTACTCTCAGTCACATAATCTTCTCAGTCCCTACTACTCTCAGACACACACACACACCCCACAGTCACATAATCCTCTCAGTCCCTACTACTCTCAGTCACATAATCCTCTCAGTCCCTACTACTCTCAGTCACATAATCCTCGCAGTCCCTACTACTCTCAGTCACACACACACCCCTCAATCACATAATCTTCTCAGTCCCTACTACTCTCAGACACATAATCCTCCCAGTCCCTACTACTCTCAGACACATAATCCTCTCAGTCCCCACTACTCTCAGTCACATAATCCTCTCAGTCCCCACTACTCCCAGTCACCCACTCCCCTCAGTCCCATAACCCTCTTAGTCTCCCACTGCTGTCAGTCCCCCACTACTCTTAGTCCCCCACTACTCTTAGTCCCCCACTACTCTCAGTCCCCCACTACTCTCAGTCCCCCACTACTGTCATTCACCCACTACTCTCAGTCCCCCACTACTCTCAGTCCCCCACTACTCTCAGTCACCCACTAATCTCAGTCCCCCACTACTCTCAGTCCCCCACTACTGTCAGTCCCCCACTACTGTCAGTCACCCACTACTGTCAGTCACCCACTACTCTTAGTC